AATATATATATATATATATATATATATATATTGAGCCAGACATGTACCTTGATTTTATTACATTTTATGAATATGGTAAATGAAAAAAAAAAAAAATAAAGTTAATATTTGGAGAAAATTATGGAAGAATTATTGTTTAAAGTATAATGAAATGAATGCTATCTTGTTAATGTATTGTTTTGTTTTTTTCATCATTGTTCTTATACTTTCTCTAAATTGGACTGGATCTAAAATATAATCTTGATGAGATTTCTATAATACTGCAAATGTTCCCATGCAAATATAATAACAATTTATATGACTTACTTTTTTACCTACAAGTTTTGTATTTTTGTTCTATGATTAACTTTTTGAAAAGCTTTAAAAGATTTTGTTGGTTAATTTCACATAACCAAGGTTTGGGTAATTTCACTTAACCCAGGTATTGGTATTTCTTTGTTATTACTTTGGTACATGTTCATGACATGGAGAAAAAGCAAGAGATTTACTAGAAAATGTTCATTATAGCTTTTTTGCTGTTTCACTGCTTTAGCTAAAATTTATTTGCTACTTATCCTGTTAAGAACTTTAGGATACTGAATGTGAATAATTACATGGAAGTCCACTGTAAGTTTCCTAGAAAGTATACCATTGTGTAAAGTAAAAACAAGTGCCTTAACTTTGAAACAGTGCTAAGATACTGAGATGGAGCTTTTATAATTATACACACACACACACATAATTTGTATTTTGTGTTACAGTTATTGTAATTGGTTTGTGGTGATGTTGCTGGTGAATGGGGTTACCATTATATTGGTGCTATAGTAGTAGAAACTAAAGCTTGTGTTATTTGTGTATGTATAAACAGATATAACTAACATACATTAATGTATCTTGGGATTTAGGTAACTTCATCTGTTTTCAAGTGTTTAGGAAAAGTGTATGGTTATTTTTTTTGCCATAAACATTTGTTTTGTTTGATTTTTAAGTTAAGACACAGTTATGATTTACTCCAAAACAATAACTATCTATTGTCAGAGTTTTTTGTTTGATTTTTTATCATTTAACAATTTTCTTTACATTAATTTTGAGGAGTGAATATGGGTTTTATATTACAAAAATGATGTTTATGTTTCTTAAAACATGTTATGTTGCTCCTTGGTAAAAGCTTTGACCTTTGAGTTAATTTTCAGAAGATAAATATTGTTTTATTATAATTTTGAAACGATGTTCAAACTGATAAAAAAAAAAGTATGTTTTCAGTTTCTTGAGGAATTTGACATGTAGTGGAGTTATTCTATTTTCTGTCAAACCTGTGATATGAATTATAGAAAAAAAAGAGATTTTATTTGTTATTAACATAAATTACTATGCTTGTTGTTGCAACAGCCCACCTTTTTATCAATAGAGAAATTTTTCACTAGGGGACAGAATTTAAACATTTAAGTCAAACATAATTTTTTAATGCTAGAATGATTCTGTTATTTATTAACTGAAACACTGTTTTAAATAATGATAAGAATCTTGTCATGTGATGTCTGATCCTGGACTTTATGATGTTTGTCTCATTCATCAACATCATTAACTAGGTAAGTGTTTGGATTTTCGTTGTTAAACATTTCACAGACCTTTATATGTTTGCCAATTTATCAACTAATATTATATGAAACATACATTTAAACTCTGAAACAGCTGAGAAGTATAGGGTCTCAAGTATGCTAGTATATGACCAGTTGGGCCTGTATTTAAAGCTACAGGTTTAAAATATCCATAATTGGGTACACGGTGTTTTGTCATCACAGTATCACTACCTTAAAATGCATGGATTTATTAATAAGGTATGCACTAATTGCATTTAATTCCATAAATTTGAATAGAATATCACTGTATAATTTTGCAGCATTTTCAAGTGTCAGTTGCACTACATGGCAATATTTATGTTAAAGAAGTATCAGTATTTCTCTTACACATTTTATTGGTGATGCAATGCATTATTGAGATTTTGTGACATTACAGTAGTCATTCACATGAGACTGGTAATAATTAGCATCTACAGTTCAGTAGTGTTGGTCAGTATCAGTTAATGAAAATGTAATATATGATGGTGTGGAATTTGGAAACAGCTGATTTTTGTTTGAGTTGTGGTTGGTGAAGCTAGTTATATGAAATAAATTAGCAAAAAAAATCTTAATGCCTCTTTGTTTTCATTAATAAAGTAGAGAAGTCTGTTTCAGACTGAGTCTCACATAAATCACATTGTGATACACGCGAAATTTCAAATGAATACATGTAGCTAATAAATTAAGGACGATGTTCTTTATAATCTAATTCATGTTTAAATGCAATGACTTATTCATGTAAAAAGTTTAGCTTAAATCTGCTGAACCAGTTTGACAGAAGTTAAACATTCCAATCTTCAACACAAAAGCTTTGTAGACTGTGGATATAAAATAGCTTTTTGTGGGAGCTTTATTAGTGTGCATACCCAAGTTTTCTAACATTTATATTCAAATGACAAACTAGCACAAGGAAAAAAACAAAATAAAGTAAAATCAAAACATTAATGACCAAATAATTATATTTGTGAAATATTGTGCAGCTGAAGTTTATGTGTAGGTTCGGTTATATATTTTTTTTATAAAAGAACTACTGTAAAAGAAGTTAGAGATAAAGTTTTTTTTTTTCAATCTGTAAGAATTTATCATCTCACAGATATTTAAGTATCAAAAAATAAATGTCAATGAGTTATACTGGTTTCTGGAAATTCCATGCCTCATCAGTAACCCTGGACAAAGGCAAATGGAAAAAATGTAGGATCAACATGTGAGTAAAAAACATCTCAAAATACCATACATATACACTCCCCACTATATGAAGCCTTGTCTTATTCTTTCGATTTTCCCTTGTCCAGGTTTACTGGTGAGGGATTGAATTCCCTGAAATCAGTACAACTCAGTGACAAGCAGTAAATCAAGTAATAAATGTGGTTTCATATTTGCTTTTCAGTATTTTGTTTAGCTTTACAACTGAGTAATTCACAAGAATAAATTAGTAGCATCAGTGCTGCATATTCTTGAAATTCCTATGTAAATATAGGATCATTGTGTGAATAAAAGACATCTTAAAACACCATACACATTTAAGTTTTTTCTCTTTTTTTCCTGCTTGAGATTGGTATTTTGTTATTTTAATTTAATATTTAGGATTTGTTTTTGTTTTTAGGACATATCTTCATAATTTTAAAACTTTTTCCCTGAAACAAATTATACACGTGTAACATTAGATACACCTAATAAATTTAACAAAGAATTATCTATGTTACTGCACAAAAATGATTGACGCTTGCAATTTGCAAATACAAGAAAGCATTTACATTTGACATAATACAAAATTTATTATCAGAATTAAAAATTATTAAGAACTTGTAAGGCTACAGTCATAATTCTCTTTTAACATGCATTATTTTTATTTCTTAAATAAATATTTTTCTGCAATTTTTTTTAGATTTAACTAATGACAATTTATTAAAGATATGTACTTATGTTAGTCTTAGAAATTTGACATTGATTTGAAACATTTTCACTGAAGTTTTTCTTTTTACTTAAACATATCTAGTTCACATCTACATTGCTTCAACAAATTAGTGCCATGTAACAAAATATTCAGACTTTCTATTTGTTTGTGAAAGAATAATGAATTTTTTTTATGAATGTGAGAAAACATATTGTACCTCCCAAACATGTGAATATCCACTTAAAACCACAGGTGCAAGCAAGTCTTAGAAAGGTATTGTTTAGTTAAGGCATTATATTGAAATAATCCCATACAGTTTTAAGCATTTTGAGGGATTAATGCCCATTACATAGGTAAGTGTCAAATACTTGAGATACAGTGTGGTATTAATGTCTGTCTGTTTGTTTACATAACAAAGTAAGCTCTTGATAACAGTTCTGAGTCATAAAAAATAACTGGGCAATGGCTGTCCCTGTGGTAGGGCTCTGGATTTCAGAGCTGGCACCACATATGAATCCATACAGTATCACAAAATATTCCCCAAACTTTAAACTGTGGATGTGTTATAAAAATATCAGTCAGTTGTTAGCAAGGGTGTTGCTGACTGGCTGCCTTTTTTTTTCTGGCCAGTAGCTTAGTATTAGGAATAGTGGCAGATAGCTTTAGTAGCTTTGTCTTAAATACAGAAAATAACTATTGACAAATTGAAATATAGCCAAATAAAGATGCATTTTAATATTTGATCCTACAATCTTCAACCAGTGAATTTGTTTCCACACTTGCATTGGTCTAAGACTTGTTTTTTCTTCTGTTAGTTTGTGTGAAGCTGGTTAAAGAAAAATTTAATTGTTCACTATTGTTAGTTTATCACTGCCAGAATATTAAATCTGCTTTATGCAATAGTAACTAGAAATTTTAAACATAAACCATTAACAGTCAATAATTGTCAGATTATTGATGCCACATACTACATCCCTTGTACATTTTTGTAAAATAATGAAGATCCCTATGAAGGCAGACTGATAGTTTTATAGCAAAATAAAAAACTTTTTGTTTGGCCAATATTAGCAACAATAGAACAAAATGTAGTGATATTGATTTTTATTATGATAGCTAAAAATGTCTTGCTTTTATTCTCTCACTGCATTTTGAAATATAGCTAATAATATACTCCAACATAACCTTCAAAGCTCTTAGGTCTTAATGTTTAAATTTCATATTCTTTCATTTCCTTAACACACTTTTTGTAACTTGTTCAGTTTTTTCATGTTCTTTCTCAAAAATGATTAAACAAATAACTTATGACTTCATATTTTTTCTTCTTTCTTCATGCTTGTTTTCAAACTTGTGTAAATTATGTGTTTTGGATTACTGTATGTTTTATTTTTTGGGCAAGGTTTTTTGTTTCACCATATATCTCTTGTTGTGCTAAGAATTTGGTTTTAATTGTTTGTTAATTCAGAAAAACAGATACAGATACTTAAAAATCTAAATAGAAAAGATGGTATGAAGAGAATAAAACAAAGTAGATTTTAAGTATGATTTTTTTTCCTGGATAAGAAACAATCTAACCCTACACTGACTTTTTTGCTATATACAAGTATTCTAAGTGAGTTTTGCTTAGCCAGAGAGACATTCTGGTATGAAAGACAAAAAAAAAGTTCAAATTAAGCCTCTTCCAATTACTGGCATCAGAGTAATTTGTTTTTCTTTAATAGGAAACTTTGACAAGGCAGGAATTAAATTAAGTTAAAATTAAGACTTTTCAACTACCTTGGCTCTTGAAGCATTATTTTATTTTCCTTACAACTAGTAAATTTTACCTAATGGGAAGTCATAAGACACAAATAATTAAACCAAGTTAAAACTTAGCTTCTTTCATTGGCTGTTTTTTTAATGGATTTTTAACAGTACTTATCTCTACTATCATTTTACTTGTCCAGGAGGAATTCTAGTTTAAAAAAATTACTTTGTAATTATGATAGTGTCTTATCTTTTTAATGAAGAAATATATAAGTAAGGTTATCTTTCAATTAACTCATAAAAATTGTGTCTTTATTTTTTATGGAAAGTAATAGTATGGCAGTAATTAGATATGTTATGCACATATGTCTTTCAGGTGGAGTTCAAATCAACATTCCAGAAAATAAGAACATACACAGTGGACAGCCTGACAATAACAGGAATTTCAGTTTTAATGTAAGAACAAATCTCAGTTATGTTGTGTCAGTATACTTAGTTGTTTATACAAACTGAGTTTATATGTAGTTAAGTTTGAAGCACATTCTTTCTCAGTTTTTCCACAGTACTTAGAAATTAATTCTATTTTTAGTACACATGAAATTGAAAAAAAAAAGTGTATTTTTTTTTTAAGTAGTACCTGAACTAAACTTATTTTGATAACTTTTATTCTATTCAGAGTGGAAACAACCAACAGCCACCATTTAAAAGTAGTCAGAATGGTAAGTTTTTGATATGTGTCATAATAGTGTAAATATTTAAATTATTATGTTAATTATTCTCACACTTTAAAACTTGAAAATGTGACTTTATTAGCACACAGCAAAATTGTTAGTGTTGTTTATTACATATATGTATCTTGTTGTTCCATAATGGGTTCTACTCCCTTCAGTGGACAGAGCTTGTACAATTGCTATTAAGATTTGGTAATTTTTGCTCTTGGTGTTGATAATTAATGTAAGCATAACTAGTTTCTTTTCAACTTAAAAATTATTACTAAGAGAGTATAGTTCCAGATCCAGTTACATCAAAGAAGTTACATTTTTTAACTGCTGTCATGATGTTTAGTCTGAAAGTAACATTACATTCTCATTCTAACAGAACTAGCAAATTAGTATCTTTGTTTGGGCTCGTAAATAACCAGAAGATAACTACTGCTTCGTGTACATTTCATATCTTAAATTCACAGAGAAGTCTCCTGTACAAAATTAAAAGATATTTATGCAAGGAAACAATATTAATTTGCTGGAGACTTTATCAAAGCAAGACTATTCAAAAACTCTTAGTAGAATTGCCAAGGTGGATGCATACTATCATTCTGAAGAGCATTAAACAAATGTATGCCAGGTGCCAAATGTTCTTGGAAATTTAAAAGGATGTGCCCAATTGACATGAAAAATATAACAAAGATTATCTCCTACTAAATAACACAACATTGTCATTTCTGTACATTATTAAATTAAGTGTTCTCTGAATGTATTGCAACTAAAATAACTACTAATTTCACACTTATACAACTAGAGTAGAATATCTTTGGTGACATATATTCAGGTAAATATTTCATGCAGATGTTCTGCAAATAGTTATGACATTTTTGCTAATCAGTCATGGAAAGCTCATAAACATGTGCTAATCCTTTTACTTTGGTAAAGGTTATGTACAACAATGGCTAGAAACTTCTACTAGTTTGGCCCTGTGTCTGTGTCCACTCCCTGGATGGGGAGTGGGGTGGGGGGCTTCTCAAGGTATGAAATACTTACTTGTACAAATTAGTATGAGTTGTGAGTTTTTTCATATGTGTGTGCCATTGAGAATATTCAGTGATGCATCTTGGAATTATACCACACTTGAATCCATTTTCTAACTTTAAAGTGTTGTATACTATATTAATTTCTGTCCTTGTCTTCTTCAGGCATGTGTAGAAAGGTTTCTTTTTCACCCCAGCAACCAATATAAATTAATAGAAAGCTGTAAGCCAGCCACTGTAGTAAGTACACCAAATACACAATATTATGGGGAAAAGATTTATTTATTTGTGTTTGTTTGTTAGATATCTATGTTCAATTTGTTCTGTGCATAATTGCTCTGGAATTAAACTTATCTTTTTTTTACATCAATTCTTCAATACCACAAACATAAGCCAAAAATATTTTCATACCATGAACTTATCATTTTGTGATGTAAAACCATTTAAATGCTGAGTTTCTTTTGCTTGTATCGTCTGTAGACTTGTGGATCATTTGACTGATTTCTACTAAGTTGCCAGATAAACCCATGAATCTGTCAGGCATACATGAAAGGTTAATGCAACTTATCTGCTTGTGCCACACTAAATAGTTACCTTGGGTAATACTAGTTACGAAAGTCATATGGGGGCCAATATAGATTGAAATGGCATTTATATCCTGCTTCTAAATTTGTTTTTATTTTTTGTTAAGCACAAAGCTACACAATGGGCAATCAATGCTGTGCCCACCATGGGTATTGAAATTTAGTTTTTAGTGTTATGAACTTTTAGACTTACAGCTGAGCCACTAGGAGGCTAATATAAGTAATCGGCAGTTTAATGGATGTTGCTTTCCAATTGATACGTGAAACCATCGGTACTTGGTGAAACTCCATGATTACAGAATTAAGGTAAAAAACAAAGACAATTGTATGTTTCACAAACTTCAATTATTAATGACCATGGTTTGTAAACATGTTTATCATAGACTCTATTTTAGGGATGGCAAAGGTAATCAATAAATATAATACAAATATGCATGTTAAAAATCAACAATGACAGAGTTTTACCTTAAAAGATGATTACCACTCATTTTAATGTGTTGTTCTACCCAACAAGCCCAAAAACAAAGCAAAAAACCATGACTAAGATGCCAAACTAGAAAGTGACCAACCTACTAAATTGTTTATCTTTCTTTTTCTTGTTTCAGTCGAGATAACTCTACATCTACTTTATCAGTAACATCAATTTAAACTTAATCGCACTCTGTGTGTTCCTGGGTAGTGCATGATGTCATTACTTAGTCATAATAACTAGTACTAATTAAAAAAATCATAATTCTAGTGTAAACAATGCTGTCGTTACCCCTTGAAGAAAGCTAGTTAGCTTTCAGAAATATGGTGTTATTTTAAAAGCTTCAGTACAGGGTGAAGCAGGAATTACCAGCCAATAATAGATGAATATTAGATGATTGTAACATGTAGAATACTCAATGCATTGTACACTATACAATTAGTGTTTTTAGGGAACCAACCCCTATATTATGGATGAAACGAAGGAGTAAAAAAACAACTCAGTACATATAATATTAAATTTCATTACACACCTTCATAGAATACACTGACTTTCAGTCCAGGGAAAGAACGTCACAAAACAAGTAATAAAAAAGATTGACAGTGCAAACCCTAGGAATAATACACCAAAATAAAGATCATCACTATATGACTTTCAGTATTAAAATTTAATGTTAGCACTGTAAAATGCATATTTGACTTTATTATTTCAGCATTTGGAAGTAATATATTCTTGACTGTTGATATGCAGTTTCTTTATCATAATATCATGGTCATGTCAGGGTAGGCATCAGTGTAGTGTAACTAAGAGTCTAGGACTTATGTGCAAGGAAAACCTAGTTGAGTTAAAACATGTCTTGTTTATTACAGTCTATTACAGATTCTCACTACAAAGTCAGTCGATTTGACCAACCTCTTAATCAGTTTGTACTCGTACATTTTACAGTGTAACATTAACTTTTAATGTTGAAAGTCGTATAGGGATGATCTATGTATAGCTGTATCATCCTTATATTTTTGTTTGCATTATTTTTGGCACTACCATCCCTACATTATTTTATATTTACAAAATGTTTTCTATTACTTGTATATGCTTAACCAAATAACCAAAAGTAACCTTTATATTCACTTTGAGACAAGTGAGGTGAGAAGTGGGGAAGAGCTTAAGTTAGTTTATTCACTTAGAACTTTTTCTGGATTTGTTTTTAGACTTTTATTTATATGTAAAATTTCCAGGCTATTTAGTTTTTTTACCATTTTTCACAGATATGTAAAATTTTGCAGGTTTTTCAGATCAAATTAATGTTCAGTGTCATCAGGTGGTATGCAAAAGTTGAATTCATTTTCCTTAATTTCCAAACTCTAGAATGTTCTTTAATTCTTGTTTATATGGGACATACTGTTTAACGTATGTATACACTATTGCAGTTTTTACATGACAGTTGCTGTACTTTTCGATTTTGTCTTTGTTGTTACACAACATTTTGCCTAAATTGTTTGTACAGTAGAAGGCCAGTCTGTAGATTTTTTTTTAGTGTGTTATATCTTTTGTAATAAGATTTTCCATTGTAGCTTATCTTAAATCATTTCTTTTGTTTTCATTGGGTACAGTATGTGGGTTTATTGATTTTAAGTTAATAGTGTTTAATTTTTTAAACGACATGTCAATTAACTTAGTTGTATTACCATTGTTGACAGCAGTTTATTTTATTGTTTTTAATTCAGTTTCAAAACCACTGTACTCTTGTCATCTGAATACATATGTCCTTATGTCAAACAAAAGGCTTAGGTGCAGGTCTTAGCAGTGTTGATCACCCAGAATAGATTGAGACTTGAAAGTTGGAGAACTGAGCTGTATAATGATTTATATTTCATAGCACTGCTACAGCAGAAGTACATCTTCATTTTGTCACGTTGATATTTGGATTTATGCAGTGCAAGCACTAGATTTAGGCCTAAATACAAAATACATCATAATGTGTTCAAATGCAGTTAGAAGTGACTATTTAGATCCAAATATTAATCTATCTACATCTAGGCTAGCTTACTAAACTTTAGGCTTCAGCCACATGGCAATATTTGCCCAATTTAATAAAGCCTTCTGACTTGAAGTTGGCCATGATAATGTTGAATGTAAGTGCTCTGTATACAGAAAAAAACTTACCAATAACTGAAATTTCAAAGGAGCGCCTTTTCCTCTTGGTACCTTAAAATTTTGACGACTTTGCTTGGGTGGCATTTAATATTAATAATTTCATGCCTTTCTTGGTAGTTAGTGCTTCAAAATATGTTGAAATACTTAATATCTTCTGCATTACAGCCCATTGTAACTATCATTATTTCCTGCTAGGTAAAAAAATTTGCCTTAGCCTTGTGAATTTTTATTCTACTTCTTTAATAAATGAAGCTAGAAAATATTAAATGAATAAAACTTTTGATATTAGTTATAATATTGAAATTATAATAAATGTTGTTATTCATTAAACTTTAATTCCAGTAAGATACCTTACCTTTTTTCACATAATAGTTTTTCTTGTCCAGTGCTGCCCTCTGTATGCACAAGTTATTTGCTTTCCAGTAGCCTTGCTACTCCCACTTACCCCATGCGTTTAATGTGGTACAGCTGCACTGTAACATGCAACAACCTCCACCAGTAGGAGTGTGATACACCCTCCTGGCTCCCTCTGTACTGTAGAACCCTATCTTCCCTTCTCAATTTGGCACTGTAGCGTGAAGATGTTTTCCAATTTCGCTCGTGTTTGATTTGGATTTTTACTTTTTCAATTTTTTCAATAACTTAGTTGTTCCTAATTTTGATTTTCCTACAGTTACATGTGAGTTACTTGAGGATGTTAATTTTGTTTCCACTCTCAGTTGAATTATGAATTCTGAATTTCATATTACTACTACTACAATAGTTAAC